GCCAATGAGAGCAGCTCTCAAGGTTTCAAAACGGTCCTCCACAGGCCAATGGGTGACGCCACAACACGTTCACACTTGGCAAGGACAGCTGTTAACAAACATACATCCCCTACTTAAAGGACAGGCCTTACCTGAAACAATGGTCTACCCCAATTTTCCTTTACAGTGGAACAAACTGCAGATATAACAAATCAGCTTATTAAAACACTGAAAATGTATGTCCCGAGCAACGTTATATAGTACAAAAGAATTGGTTCTGCAATGCAGGTTTTATTTAAACTATCTTATTGTTTCCACTTATTGTTTTTAAGCAACAAAAGCGAGAGAGAAGAGTCTGTGGCAGAGGTAAAATGAAGTTACAGTGCCCCTAACCCTGTTAGGGAGGAGGTTAAATGGTTACAACAAGCCCTCCAACCTAAACAATAAAAAGGTTATTTGTCACTGCATTCCAAAAAGACCCATAAGAGAGTTTTCTGTTTTGGCCCTATCAGCAGGACAACATTGTTCGCAGTGCCTTCTGAAACTTTTACTAATGACTGCAACAAAAACCACTCATGCGATTGTTTTTTAAATTCACCCTCAGGTTAAGGTTTGGTTGAGTTCAGGCACAAAAACTGCTTGGTTAGGAAAGACTGTTTTCATGGTTAAAAAGAGCCAAAATGTATTGCTAGTAGGAGACGAGGTGCAAATACCAATCTCCAATGTCAAAGTTTGACACAGAATTTTCATCCAAATGTGGCTCCAAGTAAAGTAGTAGTAGTAAATGTAGTGTAAGCATTGAAGTGGTGGACAAAATGGATTTGCTGGTGGCGCCAGAAATCACGGTATCCTCACAATCCATCAAATAATTGTGAAGACATATTGCAAAACCATCAAATAGAACCTCATGGTGGCATTAAAGAAAAAGTCAGGGATTCCCCAATGTCATTAGGATTCATCCTCTGGGGACCATGAATGTCTGTTCATAAATTCATGGCAATCCATCCAACAGTATAGTTGAGAAAACATTTAAATCTTGTGGAGTTCAATCTTAGTGTTATTATTATTATTATTATAAGTATTATTAATGTTCATCATCATCAGTCACTACTATTAGTGTAGTTGTTGCTACTGTTGTTGCTGTGTCTGTCTGTCTCTCTCTCTCTCTCTTTCATCCCAACTGGTCGAGGCATACGACCACCCACCTAGAGCTAAAGGGTCTGTCCTAGGTTTCTGCCTTTTAACAGGCAGTTTTTCCTTGCCCCGTCGCCAAGTGCTTGCTCTGTTATGAATTGGCGCTATACAAATCAAATTGAATTGAATTGAATAAAACTCTCTACAGTCTTCACCAAGAGACAATGTGACTGCCTTACCTATAGGGCGTAGACAACCTCCTGAGACACTGTTATGCTCCCTTGTGTTACATTTATGTTACTGTAGTTAGAGTTTGGAACTAAATAAAGCCCACGTGCAGTTCTTCCTCGTCTCAGTGTAGTTTCCTTTTTAAAGGTTTTTTTCTTCTTCTTGTTTCAGATCTGGACGATGACGTCGACCCAGAAACTGGAGAGAGAGCGCAGGGATGACCCTGCCCACCACCTGTCAATCACAGCAGCTAATTTAAAAGCTTTATATAAACTTTTTCTATCCATAGATCTTCAGATCATCAGTCAGCTGATGATCAGTTGTCATATTATTGATTATTGAGTGAACTATTGATCAGGTTGAAGGCTGAAAGTTGTCCAGGTTTTATGTTCTTTGTTTTATATGAACTGACTTTTATCATTTGTTTTATGTGTCTTATGTTAAAAGTCTGTTTTTGTCTTCAGGGACAATAAAGTTGTAAAGTTGAAGCATTCTCATGTGTGGAAAAAAAAAGTTTTATTGTAAAAAAATTTTCATTTTTACAAAAACATTAAATAATCAGAATTTTTCATATTTACAATTTTAGCATGTACAGTAAACACACACCCTTTCACAATAAAAGTTCTGGTAATATCAGACACATTTTCTTCTGCTGCGACCAGTGGCTCTCCAGATGGTTAATCTGCAGCGCTCCTGATTGGTTAATATCAGTCTTCTTCCTTATTAGCTGCTGCCGGCTCAGTGGGCGGAGCCTCGTCCTCAGAACTGGTCTGACGAGCCGCCGTCCGAAACAAGCGCATCAAATCCCGAAACCGGTTAGACACCTGGAGATACGAGGAAGAGTTACTGACTGTTTACTTCCTGTTTATAAACCTGTGAGACACCTGGAGATACGAGGAAGAGTTACTGACTGTTTACTGTCAGTCAGATAAATCAGAAACAGCCAATCACCTCACTGGGAGTCTTGTTGCCGAGCAGAGTAGAGATGGACTGGAATGTGTTCTGATTGGCTCCTTCCTGCTGGCACGTTGTCAAAATGACTCGATCTGCTTCTCTGAAAAAAACAACACAGTCAGTTCTCCTTCCTGAGGAGGAGAGAAGAGGAGCAGGGAGGAAGAGGGAGGAGGAGCAGAGAGGAGGTGTACCTGGTCCAGAGGATGACTTTCTCTCCGCTCGCTGTCAGAGAAATATTCTTGGCACAGACAGGGAGGTCAGGAGGAGGACTGGGCCGAAGAGGAGCAGAGGAGGAGGAGAGGGTAGAAGAGGCAGAGGAGGAGGTGCAGACAGACGGACAGATGGAGGAAGAAGATGAGGAGGTGATAGATGTGATGGAGGCAGTACAGACAGAGGGAGAGGAGGAGGTAACTGAGGTCGAAGTAAAGATGGAGGAAGTCATAGAGGAGGTGGAGACAGAGGTACAGGAGAGTGTGAAAGAGGTGGGAGGGTTTGAGGAGGTAACAGAGGGAGAGGAGGTGGTGCAAGAGGTGGTGGGGGGTGGCAGTGCCTCCTCTCTCCTGCTCCTTTTCACAGACGGGCTCTGCTCCTTCTCACTGGTCTTCCTCTCCTCTTCATCTTCATCCTCCTCCTCCTCATCTAGATCCTCCTCCTCTTTGTCGTCAGCCAGAGGAAACGAGCCTTCCCATGATGCACCGCTCTGATGGTCTGTTCACAGAAACATTAAAGTTACATAAACACACCTGTCTTTAATTATGATCCTGGACAGGTGACCTGGTACACACCTGGTTGTGGACTGTCGTCGTCCCCCTTCAGGTCCAGGTCTTTGTCACCTGGTTCATCGTGTGCGGAGCTTATCTGAGAGTACAGAGGGTCCAGACTCTTCATGGCTCTGGACACACCCCCTGAGGTCTGCAGGGGAAATGAACAGGCGAATCAGGTGTTTATAAACCTCTCTAGCTGTCACTCATTCACACCTGATCAAACATGGAGGAAAGACCTTGTTGCCATGGCAGCGAGAACATCCTTTCCTCCTGTGTCTGCGGATCTTTGCGTCAAGGCAGAGGCAGGGCCACTCTTTATCTGACCAATCACAGTCCTGGAAAGATATCAAACAGCATCAGCGCAAAAGAAAGATACTAACCCCTAACTGCTAACCCTAACCCCTAACAGTTTATTAGTTATAAGCAGAAACATAAATAAGCTTAATAACCGACCACATGGTGGCGCTACTGAATACACGCTTTAATATGTTTAGCACTGTGTAGAGATTTTGATGAGTATATGCGACATTAAAATATTAAAATCTCTAATATCTTGATATACGTATGTGAATGTTGTGTGTAACTGTCCATGAGTGAAAGCTAACTGAAGGCCCCATGTGTTCAGACCTTGTATTTTCTGTGAGCGTCCATCTTCCTCCTTTTGCGCCGGCTCGTCATTGGTTGGATCTTATGTCCCTCCTCTTCTTCTTCGAGCTCTGGGAGCGTCACTTCCTCAAAGCCGCCGGTGGCTCCGCCTGCAGACACCTGTCCGACGCCCTCTCCTCCATCTGACCCGCCTCCTCCATCCTCGGGCCAATGAGCTTCCTCAAACTGTCCTGGGCGGGCCGGAGGGGGGCGGAGCTCTTCAAAGAATACCCAGAATTCAGCTTGTAGATGGGTGTGGCCTTTTAGCAGCGTCGCCATCTGAGCTTTCAGCTGAAACACATCAAACTGCTGATTTTATTCATACTGGTTAAATTGGTTAGTGTACAGTTATTGATACTGGTTAAACTGGTTAGTGTACAGTTATTGATACTGGTTAAACTGGTTAGTGTGCAGTTATTGATACTGGTTAGTGTACAGTTATTGATACTGGTTAAACTGGTTAGTGTGCAGTTATTGATACTAGTTAGTGTATAGTTATTGATACTGGTTAGTGTACAGTTATTGATACTGGTTAGTATACAGTTATTGATACTGGTTAGTGTATAGTTGTTGATACTGGTTAAACTAGTTAGTGTACAGTTATTGATACTGGTTAGTGTACAGTTGTTGATACTGGTTAAACTGGTTAGTTTACAGTTGATACTGGTTAGTGTACAGGTGCTGATACTGGTTAAACTAGTTAGTGTACAGTTATTGATACTGGTTTAACTGGTTTGTAAAGCTGGTGTACCTCGTGGATGCTGGTTGGACTCAGGTCTGGACCGGTCTGCAAAGCTTTGATGATCTTCTGATAATGTGACGGATTGTCTCCAAAACTGATCTCTAACTGTCGCAGGAACCGCCGGCTGCGTTCAAACGCCTGCTGCTCCTCAAACTGGAAGTTGGAACAGACAGTAACATCAAAACACAAAAATACTAAAGATTACCATGAAAACACCTGGACTATGAATTGAACTGTGATCAGCTTCATTAGAATCACAGACATAAGCTTTAATCTCAAGAATCCTGCATTTGAGACACCTGAGATACACCTGTGACCCTGCATTGAGACACCTGTCTGCTCACCAGTCCACATTGCAGTGCCTGCTCAGGGTGCAGGAATGCGGCAAAGTCTCGAAGGAGGTCTGTCCGATCTCCAAGGATGCAGCGCAGCTTCCTGAACAACAACACCACTTCCTGTCCATCTCCCGCCCGCTCAAACTCATTTAGCAGAGACACAAAGTCCTCCACCTGTCCAGGTATGTCCTGGAGCGCCTCACGCACCTAGAGAGACACAGTAAGAGTCACCTACAGATACCTGCTTCAACATGACCCTTACCTAGTTATGCTTCAGTGTCTCTGAGGTTGCTGGAAAGGGATGGATGGAGACTTTCAGAAGAAGTCTGACAGGTTTATTACTAGAATATGAAAATGTTACATGGGGAGTCCAAACCTTTGAACAGGAGCTTCAGGTGTGATAGATTTGTGACGATTCAGACATCACTCACAGTAAAGTCAAAATGTTCTGAGTTTCTTACCCTGCTGAGGTAACTCTGGGCGAACGCCACATCTTTGCTCTCTCTGTGTGGGTCGTTGTTGAGGATGTTCTCGTCATATAGCAGTAACAGTTTTGTGGCGTCTTTACTGTGACGCTCCTGACGACTCCTTCTTAGGCCGCGAAGAGGTCGACTCCGACCTGCGTAGAACAAGAGGAACCGTAAAAACACTGTCAGAAGTAAATAACACAGATCTACTAGAGACAGCTCTGACCTCGTCCTCGTCCAGGACACCTCCCTCCTCCTCTAGGCGTCCCTTCTCCTGATGGCATCTCCTCATCTCTTTCCTCCTTATTGCTCCTCCCCTCTCCTGACCCGTCCCCTTTAGGCCCCTCCTCTTCTTCCTCCTCCTCTTCCTGAGAGCCAGGAGAGGTTGGAGAGTGATCCTCCTCAGAATCTCCGTCTGCACAGAGCCGCCGCTCCGCCGCCAGCCAAGTCAGCTGCTTCATGGTTTCCTGAAAAAGCCAAAGGTCAAACAAGTTAGCTGCTTTGCGTACTGCATACAGTACACATTATATACATTTTATATATAACATATGGGGTGGACAAAATACTGGAAACACAATGAGGACTTCCTGTTTACCTGTAACTCTGGAACAGACAGCACAGACTCCTCTGATGCTGATGACATCACTTCCTCCTCATCTTCATCTTGTGTGAGGTCATCAAAGTCCTCCTCCTCCTCTTCCTCCCCCTGCCGGTCCTGATCTTCATCTTTATCCTTTTCTCCATCCTCCTCCCTCTCTCCTCCCCCATCATCCCTCTGTCCATCAGCTCCCTGTCCCTCCTCCTCCCCCTCTCCTCCCTGTTCCCCCTTTCCTCCCTCACCTGTTTCTTCCTCTCCACCTCCTCCTGCATCTCCGCCTTCTCTCTCCTCATCCTCCTCTCCACCAGTGTTTTCTCCTCCATTCAAACTGACCACACCATGAACAGTCCAGTTCTCCTCCTCCTCCTCCTCTT